AGAAAAACCCCTCCAAAAAAAAAAAAAAAAAAACTAGAGGACACATGGACTAGCTGCACCAACAGAGAGGGGGGAAAGTGAGAAAGCATTCCCTAGAGGGCATGGCCATACTGCAGTCCCTTCTCTTCTAGTCTTCTCTCAGGATTTTGGGCACACACACTTACGCATCTGCAACGTTTTTCAAGACAACGAGTATGGGACTCGAACTGTGTATCAGCCTGGGGGATCCAGTTGTCTTATCCTCCCCACCACTGGCTGGGCTCCCACTCTATTTTTTAAATCAATTTTTAATTTCTAGAAGTTATATTTGGTTCTTCTTCAAACCTACCTGGTCATTTTTATGCTTTCTTATTTCTTTCTCATAATTTCAAGCTTCTCTTTAATTTTTTCTAATTGCCAAAGGGCATGTGAGACAGGGAGAGAGAGAAACCCCAATGGGGCGTAGTCATGCAGCAACCCTGTTTTTCTCCATTTCTTCATCTGTCAGGATTTTGGACACTCATGCACACGTGCCTGAAGTGCTTTTCAAGTCACCAGGGCTGGGATTGGAACTGCAGTCCCCCATGTGGATCCATGTCCCAATGCACAGCACTTAACTGCTGTGCTATGGGACTGCTCATTTTTCATTTCTTTCTTTCTTTTCTTTTTTCTTTTTTTCCTAGTTTGTTATAGGGTGAGTGTGCTTGCCAGAGAGCAAGAGAGGAAAGTAAAAAATCACCCTGAGGAGGTATGGCCATGCCGTAATCCTTTCTCTTTCATTCTTGGGATTTCAGGCACACACCTGGTGTGTTTTTCAGGCTGCTGGGTCCAGGACTCAAACCATAGACTCAGTCATGTGGGATTCAGTGGCCTTAACCACCACGCCCCTGTAGATCCTCTTAAGGCGATAGTTGACGTCAGGTTCACTTTTCTCCAGATCACCTTTTTCACTGTACTTTTTTACTATTGAGACGTTCTTGACAACTCAGTGCTTTCAGAGCACTTCCTGTTCATTTGTTTCTTCAATTGCCAGAAGGCACATGTGCCACCAGCGAGGAAGAGAGAAACAGAGAGATATAGGAAGTGCCCCCCATCCCCCCGACCCCCGGGACCAGCAGTTAGCGTAATGGCTATGTTGCTGGACTCCCACGTAGTCGACCGCGGTTCACGTCCCGGACCCGGTGGCTTAAACTCACACCGGGTGTGTGTGCGTGCGTGCCCAAGATCCCGAGAGGAGAATGGAGGAGAAGGGATTGAGGCGTGGCCATCCTCCCTGGGGGCTGATATCTCTCTGTCTCTCTCTGTCTGTCTGGCGAGCACGCACGCCCTATAGCAAAAAAACTCTTAAAAATAAATAAATAAATAAAAATTTTAAAAAAGGAAGTGCCCCCCCAAGGGGTGTAATGATGCCACAATTCCTCCTCCATTTCTCAGTCCTTTCAGGTTTAGAGCATAGGGTCCCATATGCTGTCGCTTCTCGGCCTTTGGGCAAAGATCAAGTGCACATATGCCCTGGTGTGCTTTTCCAAACTATTGGGGCTGGAATTCAAACCGTGGTCAGCCGTGTGGGATGGAATTCGGACTGTGGTTGGCCGTGTGGGATCCGGCTCCCTTAACCTGTAGGCTGTGAGGCTGGCCCAGTACTTCCTGTTTTTTCTCAGCTTTGTAGTCCTTACGTGGGATCATTTACAATTACACTCCCAGACATAGAAGCCTGGATGTTTTTCTTTCCCCAATTTGTGTCCTTTTGAGGACCCCCTGTGGATGGGGAGATCTAAGTTCTAAGCACCCACCCTGGAAGGGCCCAAGATCTTATCTCCTTGGCACAGCTAAAACCTAAGGGTCTATGTTGCCAGCTGATGCTGGTGAACACAACTGTGGCTTCAGTATCCTTGTGGCCACTGGGGCTACAGACTAAAATACTAGGTGTATTCACTATATCATTTGGGGCCAGTCATATGCATCGAACACTGAAGACAGGCTCTTATGACTCTCGGTAGTTTTGCCTTCTGGACTTCCATGTTTGGCTGCTTGTTGCTTAAGGCAACTCAAAAGGTTTAATTCATGTTTCTCTTCCTGTTAGCAAAATGCTCACCTGTTCTACCTCTCCTCTCTTGGGAGACTGAGGTCCAACCTGGTAGTGTTTCTTTTTGTTTTTTTCTTTTTTGGGGGAGAAGTTTTTGCTATAGGGCGCGTGCACTCGCCAGACAGAGAGAGACAGAGAGACAGAGAGACAGAAAGCGAGAAATCACCCCCCAGGGAGGATGGCCACGCTGCAATCCCTTTTCCTCCATTCTCCTCTTGGAATCTTGGGCACGCACGCACATGCGCCCAGCGTGAGTTTAAGCCACCGGATCCAGGACTCAAACTGTGGTCAACTATGTGGGAGTCCAGTGACGTAGCCATTACGCTAACTGCTCGTCCCAAACCTGGTAGTGTTTCTTCCTTTTATTAGGGTCATGGTATTCTTGGGGACCCTGATTAAAGATATGAACCTTCCTCTAGGACAGTCTGGTGTCAGCCAGACTGTAACATGTTAGAGAGTGCTTGATCCCCTGCTTAGGCCATCAAACATCTAATGATTTTTCTTTACTTCAAAAAAAATTTTTTTTCCTTTTAGTTGCTATAGGACATGCATGTTCACTGGAGAGAGATGGCGGGGTGGGAGGGAGATGAGAAATCACCCACCGAGGGAATGGCCATGCCACAATTCCTTCTCCTCCATTCTCCTCTCAGGATTTTGGGCACACATAGGCACCCAGTGTTTGTTTTTTAAGAATTATTTATTTTACTTTTATTTATTCATTCATTTATTTTAAATTGACCAGAGAGAGACACAGAGGGAGAGAAAGGAAAAGTGAGAAAGCAAGTCACCAGGTCCAGGATTCAAACCATGGGCAGCCATGTGGGGATGTCCGGCGCCTTAACCACCACGGCACCTGCTGGCCCCCCAAGTGTGTTTTTCAAGCTGCTGGATTGGGACTCAAACTGTGCAGCCGGCCATGTGGGATTCTGCTGCCTTAAACTCCAGGCCACCTGCTGGCCCTCTATTTTTCTCTTATTTGCCAGTGGGCACGTGCACTCGCCAGAGAAAGAGAGCGAGGAAGTGCATCTCCCCACCCAGTGGAAAATGGCCATGCCACAGTCCCTTCTCCTCCATCTCTCCCTTCTTTCAGGACATGTGCCTGGCATGATTTTCAAGCTGCTGGGTCCAGGATTCAAACCACACAGTCAAGTGGGATCCAACTCAACTATTTAACTACGGGGCTGTCCTTGGTGATATTTTTCTTCTTAAACATGGGTTTGTGGTCTCAAGCCTCAGCTCTGGTGGGCTTCTGGTTCCCCGGGGGCTCACATTACATGTATGCACGCTGGGATTAATTAGAAAGCTCCCAGCACTGTGTTTTTGATGGATTCAATCTGTATTTGACTATTCTCATGTAATACAGTCATATAATCAAGGGACTGTATTTGCTGATGAGTCTGTGATGAAGGTCTAAGGAAAAGATTTTGTTCTTGGATCTGGTTTCCTAACTGTTTAGTAGACAGGAATTCCGGGGACCACGGCTGGTTGGACCGTGATCTGTGTTTCGATACTGAGTTTAGGCTTATTGGAGTCTGCGCCTCTTTTAACTTGTTCAGTGGGGTTTTGAGAATGTAAGTTAATGATGCTTCCCTTTTCCTGATTAAGTCTTGGTCTTTCTATGACTTCCTGAGTTTCTTAAAACTTTTTTTCTAAAAAGAATATTTACTTATTTGTTATTATTCATTTTTAATTTGACCAGAGAAAGACAGAGAGAAAGGGAAAGTGAGAAAGTAAGCTGCTAGGCTGGGACTCGATCCCTAGTCAGCTGTGTAGCAGTCTAGCGCCTTAATCACCCTGCCACCTGCCAGCCCTGAATCACTGTGTTTCTAGTCTGCCCTTTTCCCTAAACTCTCCAAGCACCTTCTGACCTGTCACATGGGTGAACAGAACTAGCTCAGACATACTCAGCTGCACCTCTCTGATCACCTTGAGGGCTTGCAGGGATGAAGGACGAGGGAAATGGGGTGTGGACAGGGGCTCCTGCTCTCAGGTGCTTCCACCCGAGCCGGTCCACTCTCACACGCTTTATAAGTTGGAGTTGGAGGATGTGTTTTGCTCAGACTTCCATGGGGATCTTTCATCCCTGAGCAGGAGACCTGTCAGCAGGCCGCAGGCAGAGGCAGGGAGAGAAGGTGCTTCTGTCTCACCCAACTGATCCCCCGTGTGGCAGGCACCTCTTCCCGCCTGACACCCTACTTCCTTCCTAGTTCCAGTTCCAGGAAGGATGTTACCTTTGACGATGAGAGTGTTAAAGGCGCTGCTGCTGCTGCTGCTGCTGCCGCCCCCGGGGCAGGCTGCTCCCAAGGACGGGGCCATGAGGTAACAGGGCGATGAGGGCAGGGTGGGAGTGGGAAGCCTCCGGAGATTCTGTCCTGGCGGGCCCCCTGGGGGGCAGGAGACTGGTGTAGGCTTCCTGATCTCTGTACCCCCCACCCCATCTTCTGCCTGTCAGAGTGCCATGACGTGCTTGATGGCGCCACTGGAAACAGGAAGCTCAGCCCCAGTTACGCGGTGGGAAGCACAGGGAGAAACTATGGGCCATGGAAGGGGCCGCCATCCTCTTACCAAGACCTTCAAGGGGAATGCCAGAGAAATCGAGGTCATTAGCATACCATTTCCGTTTTGTCTGAGAACCTTTCTGGAGGCTTCATTTATTAATACTGCGCAGCAGGAA